TAATATAAAAAATTCCAAATCCACTAGTGGTTATGTGTTTACCCTCGGAGGGGCAGTCATGTCTTAGAAATCTTCCAAACAAACATGTATATCAAGATTAACGATTGAATCTAAGTTTACTGAAGAAGATGAATGGCTTTGCCAATTCATTGAAGATATTCTACGTTGGTCAAAACTTGTGCCAATTATCTGTATTCATTGTGATAGCTAATCAGCAATTAGACGGGTACAAAGCAATATGTATGATGGAAAGTCTAGACATATCCGTCATAGACATAATTCCATACGACAACTACTCTTTAATGGAGTTGTCTCTCTAGACTATGTAAAGTCTAAGGACAACATTGTGGATCCGTTAACCAATGATTAATTCGAGAGTTAGTAAAAACGTCGTCAAGAGGAATGGGGTTAAGGCCTTTAGTAAATGTTACCGGAATAGAAAACTCAACTTAGTTGACTGGACATCCCTAGATCTAGGTTCAAAGGGACAACCTAACTGCATGTAACGAGTGAGTTACTGAAGAGGTAAATCCTTTTACCCCCCATTCCTTTATACAGTGATACCTTATAGGGAGTGGAAGGTTAATCTAATTTAATGACCTAAGTGAGATGAAAAATCAACCGTGGTATAATGAGATACCTTATGTAGGTCACTTATGTGAGTGCGAAGTGGGGTCGTTTCTTTAAGAATTGACAAGGTCAAATTTTTTAAAACACTTACTAAACCAGGCTAGTGTTCCAGAGCCATACCGAACACACTAGTGAGAACAAGAACAATGGTTGGACTAACTCCCGTGTGAGGTCTATTGTCTTGGTTTACATAAACGGCAGAAGAGCTCAAGACATCACGTTCACTGGTCAACTAGTAAATTCGATAGGCTTTCACTATGAAAGATTCAAGACCAATAACTACCTTTTCTGACGTAGGGTTAGTCTGTATGCTCTCTCTCCGAGTCTTTGTTGTTAAACATTGTCCGTTTTCTTTATTCGGTCAATTTTTATTCATGTTGGGGATTGTGGGAAAAAAAATGATTTTATGGTGACTTTAATGTGAAATTAAAGTAGGTCCCAACCACTGGTTGGGGTGAGATCAAATGAGTTTAAATTCTTTGTAACCAAATCTTTATACAACAAAAAGAATGTCAAAAAACTATTAAAAATTGAATGAGAAATTGTCTCATAAAGTTGGCCTCATGAATGAGGTATTGAGAAATGTGTATAAATACCAATCCTACATTGATTGTAGAGGAAAGTATTGATGCGTATTTAAACCTTAAGATTTTGAAAAAGGCATGAGCCCTTTAGGGCATCCAAATTTTTGGAAGGAAGAGAGTTATGAATGCTTCAAAAATGGACTTGGGCCAAAACTATGGTCCAAGTTGATTATGCAAAAGTTGCCACATGTGCGCGACTGCACGCCATCCGCCCAGATTGGGTCCAGGTTGGGGGACCGTGGTCTATGATTTGTGGGTTGTGGATTGTGGATTGTGGAACTTGGGCTTAGGCTTGAGGCTTGTTGGAATGGATTAGGTTTGAGTTAGGCCGGATTGGTGGTCCACCAACCTAATTTTTTGGGCCAAGTCTGTCAAGTGACTGCTGATATACACACACACACACGTGTATATTGTGTGTAACTCACACACTTAAGTTCCAATAGTTTTGCAGAAGTTATTGGGCAGTTTTGACTGCATTTGTTGTCAACCTTTATGGTTGGGAAGCTCTTCCTCTCTTTCCCATTGTGTATAAAAGGAGGCTATCTTTTTTGGCTTCAACATAGAATTCTTTTGTTCTTAGATTATAGTCAGTCTGCTCCTATAGTATATTTTTCCTGTGTGAGAGAGTGCTGTCATTGTCAGTTCACTGGAGCTAAATAGAAGGTGCTTCTGTATTAGCGGATCTATATTGTCGTATCTTGAGGGACAAACGCCGACATACCTCCAGCACCCACGGTGAGACGACGAATTTGCTTTAAGGAGATTGCAGTATCACACTGGTTTCAGTTTGCTTTCTTTTACCATTTTATGTTGTTGAGTATTTCTGTTCATCAACTTATATAATTTAGTCCCATGATTTCATATTTTGTAATTTAATTTATTAAATATGAATCTATTTATTTTTTAATTTAATTTCACAATTTCTACAACAAAACTAATACCTACCGTATTAAAGCGCAAAGAAACATAATTTATGTTACATCTTCAACTTAATAATACTATCACACTTTGTAATCTCATTATTCAATTATATTGTACTTATAATCCTACTCAACTTAATCCGACAATGAAAAACGTGGCATGATGTTTTATAGCCGAACAACAAAAATGCATTTGGAAAAAGGGTACTACTGGCCATGGGATCTTGGGACATACTTTGAGCATCAGCTATTACTGGCTATCAACTATGAGTCAAGAGCCTCTCCTTGCAAGTTTGTGCTTGCGTCTGTCCTTGTAGGCCTTCGGGTCTATTTTTAGGTCCAATTTTGATAATCCGAACCGTTTATATTTTATGATTTATTCAGTATATCATACCTGTAAAAAATCAAGTTGATCGGATATCAAAAAGTATGTGTTTGAAAAATTGAACTAAACACTATTTTTTAAAGAATTTAATAAACAGTTTTCCGAACATATGCTTTCTGATATCCGATCAACTTGATTTTTTACAGGCATGATATACTAAATAAATCATAAAATATGAACGGTTCGAATTATCAAAATTGGGCCTAAAAATAGACCCGAAGGCCTGCAAGGACGGACACAAGCACAGAAGCTGCAAGGAGAGGATCTTCACTCATCAACTAGAGTATTGCTTACACAAACACCAATCATAAAAACTTAGGGGTGTGAAATAAATAGTCTTGAACCATTTGACTGTCAACTATTGCTTACACAGACACCAATCATAAAAACTAAGGGGTGCGAAATAAATAGTCTTGAACTATTTGACTGCAAATCATGTGTACTTGGTTGTTGGTTTGACATTTACTTTTCTAATCAAATAATGAACTGTATTGGCTATGGAGTCCAATCTTAAACCTCAATTTCATGAAATAACAGTAATATTAGGTATTATAATTTTTTTTTTATGAAAATGATCATAAAATATTTGTGACCTTTGAATTACACTTAGAATAAAACATCACACACTAATTAAGATAATCTAAGAATCACAAATCTTTCATGATCATTTTCATGATTCCTAATATTTCCACATGAAATAAACACCCCTAATTGTGTTAGCCATTGTCAAGTACACGTGGACGGCTGATGTGGTCACGGAGACCAGGATTACAAAATGTGAGAGCATACACAAGAGACGAGTCAAGATTGCAGTTCCCCATGCAACACACAATTATATAAACTCTGTTTTTGAGGAGTTCTATTAATTATTCTGAGGGTGCAATAAATAGTGTTAGGAATTGGGAATCAGATCATACCTACTACCTCTTCAATGCTATTTCCCCAGTGGCATGCATGCAATAAATTCCTCTGATACAATAGTTGGACGGAAGAAGGATAAAATGGCTTCCATCATATGTAATTACTATTGGGTTAATTAGGTGTGAATTCTAATTACCTACTAAGGCTTAGTTTGAGAAGACTAAATAAGTATATTTTTTGACTTTTTATAAAATATAGGTCGGGTTTGGATTGGATTTGAAGTGATGTGTTAGAGAAATGATGTGACTTAAATAAGATGATGTGACTTAAATAGGATAGTGACTTTTTGACTTTTTATCTTTTTTCAATCATGCCAAACTTGGAGTTAATTATTAGTACAAAGCAGACATTCTAAGATAGTAGTCCTCCAACATTATTATTCAGTTTTAGGAAAGGGTTCAATCCACAACTTTTTATTTATTTATTTATTTATTTTTTTTAATCTATAGAAATCAATTGTTAGATGTTAATTATTAATTGTTAAATTAACACTTATAAGTAGGGGTGAGCAGCGGATATACCGATCCGCCAAAACCGACCGAACCGAACCGATCCGCCGCATTTTGGACGGATGCGTGATGATGAGCGGACGGTTGCGGATTGATTTTCTCCAATCCGCCAATTTGGCGGACGGATGGCGGATTTGAGACTTTTTATTTATTTATTTATTTATTTATTTTAATCTATAGAAATCAATTGTTAGATGTTAATTATTAATTGTTAAATTAACACTTATAAGAATTAGCCTCCTCACTCTTGCAAAAGATTAAGTGCTTATCAATTCCTCTTAAAGAGAGTTGAACTCATAACCTTCCCTAGAAACTTTAATCCACAACTTTTTGTAAGTTTGAATAATTTTTATCATTATTATTATTATTTTTTTTATAAAGTTATTATTACTATCATTTTTAAAAGCATTAGTTAACAAAATTAAATTAGTTGTCCATTTTTATTCCACGTATTCTCACAAATTATGTATAAACATTTTAAGCCTACTAGGGTACTCGTTGACAAATTGTTTATTTTTTTTCATTCCCATGTTCATTGCTGTAAAAAAAACAATTACATTTTTCACCTACCCACTTCCCCTGTGAACTGCAATTCCAAGCAAACTAAGAGGAAATGAAATTTGAAAATGAGCAGATGATGAAGAGTGACGCAATGACATAGGGCTCGTTGTATCAACCTTCTATAAATTGGATGGCAAAAAATGGTGTTAGCAAATTAGGATTATGCATGTCTTGATGCATATATGTTGCGTACATGGACAAGAAGCTAACAATTATACCATAAACCCAGGATTATTATTCAGAATTAGACCCAGAATTATCAATGGTTGAAATGCACAATCAAATTTCAGCCACCCATTTATTTTGTGGGTATATTTCATGACACATCTTCTGAGTTAGAGTTTTTCAGAAACCAAATAGTGATTAGTGAAGCCATAGATGCAACCATAACAGACCAAACTTGTTAAAAAAAATAAGGGCAAAGATTAAAAATTATTGAGTTCACTAAGCAGAGAGAGAGAGAGAGACAGTAGTGTTGTATTATATGTACCTGATCAGCAGAGAAAATAGCCCAAGCCAAGGGCTTGTTGAAGAGCACAGTCCCTCTTACTATACTCACCACACACCTCAATCCTTGTACCAGTGAATAGCCCGCAGCTAACCCATTCGCTACCACCACAAACCTACAACAACCAAACAAACAAACACATTATTATTGCATCAAAATCAAAACCCAACTCAGACACAGAGAGAGAGAGAGAGAGAGAGGATACACTAGAGCTTTCATGTCTGTGAATTTAGCTTTCTTTTGGATGGAGAAGATCTGTTTGACCTGAGTATCAGAACCTATAAGAACAACAGCAAGAATACCTAAGACACAGATTGCACACCTCAATACCAACTCTGCAACCCTCACCCTCCAATCAACTACCTTTAGATTGGTCCCATGATACACTGGGACATTCCCAGGACTCACACCAACACCAAGATAGCTCATCTTTCTTAGTTAGTACGAAATACCAACAACAAAACAAACAAACCTTAAAACCCAACAGTCACTAGTAGAACAAGAAGAACTCACACTAGTAGAACCCGAATCACGCGCAAATATCAACTACCAAGTTCCACTATCTTTTATAGAGGGGAAATCATTATTCGGGATAATTTTTAAAAAATTGTTATATATTATTGAAAAAATTTATAATATTAATTATTAATATTTATAATATTTTTTTTATACTATTTTTGTAATTATCATTTACTGACACAGTATAATTTCTCCTTTATAAATCCACGACCCCAGCAAGACCAAAAATTAAAATATTGGGCAATCGTATGGCATAAAGAGTTGAGAGATTGTTTGGTTAGTAAAAATTATAAAATAAGTTAAAAAGTTAATAAGATAAAATGCTACATTTAAATTATAATTATTTTATTTTTTTTATCATAAAAATTAAAAAAAGTCAAAAATGTAACTAACTCCAAAATATATGATAGAATCCACACTATAATCCTTTGTCTGCGATTTAGAATTTTTAGTAACTTTTTTTAAATATTTTTTTTATACACTGGGAATTAAATTGATATAATTTAAATATTGGGATCAAATTGAAATATTTTTATATATTAGAGACCAAATTGATGTAATTTAAACATTGGGAAATCAATTGAAATACTTTTATATATTGGAGACCAAATTCACATAATCTAAATATTAACAACCAAAATGACACAAATTAACCCTAAAAGATATGTATAGGACCCACACTATTTAGAGCATTTCCAATAGCAAATGCTATAATAGTATTATCATTGCCAAATTATGGTAATGAATAGTAGAAATGGATGAAAAATAGCAATGGTACTCCAATGGTTTAACTATCATTTTTTCCATTTTGACATAGAAACTGGTGTGTCTGGCTGATCAGCCGGACGACTGATCTTCTAGACACACCAAGTTCTGTGTTTTTTCTGCAATAATGGCGGGCGGGAGGAAGGAAGGGAGGGATGGATGGAGATGTTTCTTGATGATTTGGGATAAATAGCAGCTGCCAAAGCTTGTGTTAAATTTGACACAAGTTTTGGTATTTCTCAAATATAGCAGTTGCTATTTATGGCCATTGGAGCACCTTGCTCTGGAGCTGCCAAATTATGGTAATAATAGCTCCAATAGTAAGCCATTGGAGTTGCTCTTAGGCGTCGTCTAAGGTTTGATTTCTTTAAAAAAAAAAAAATGACTATTTTATGAAGCGAAAAAAATTAATATTTGTGAGAATACTTTTTTTTTTAAATTTTAATTTTTTTTAAAAAGTGAACAATTAATTTATATAATTGATTTTTTTATTGACTTTTTGATTGTTTGAGTGGCTATTTAATTGTTTTTACTCTTTTTAATTTTAATTTTTTTAACTAAAAATCAAATTTCTTAAAAAGACTTAGGGTAAATTACACTGACACCCCTGAGATTTTTTTTAATACAGATTCACCTCTCATGTTTAAAAAATTACATTCTCTTTCCTGAGGTTTATAATCTCATTACAAATTACCTACTGAATTGCTGATGTCATACCATACAATTTTTAAAAGACTATTTTATCTTTTTTCTTACCATTTCTTCTTCCTATCATCACGAGTACATTCTACAACTTTCCATCATTAAATTCTACATGAATATATTCTTATTGAGTGATGATATACAAACATAAATTTTATATAAAATTTTCAAACACAATGATATACCTTAATGGTGACTTTTTACTTTAAAACAAAATACCCATAAACATGATTTATATTTACAACATCACTATCACAACATTTTTATGATATTTTTTGTATAAATTTTTATATATGAATAAAATTTTTCATTTTTATTTCCATCATTATTTTTCTTTCTCGTTTATTCACCCACATTTTATTACAGTATTATCAAATACCGTCATTCACATTTATTACAGTATTACTGATTTTTTGTTTTGCTTTGTTTTGTTTTGTTTTTTTGTTTTTTTGTTTTTGTTTTTGGTGAATTTAAAAAAAATCACAAAATATTATATTTCTTAAGTATATCTAGATTAGGTATATCTAAAAAATAAAAAAAATTATTTAAAATATTAAAAAAATCAGTAAAAATACAAAAAATAAAAAAATTAATTTTTTTGTGTGAGTTAAATCAAAGAAGATGATTGTTATTTCTCTTAAAATAACATGAATAAATATCAATATTATTTTATTATTTTATATATATAAAGACTATAGGGTAAATATGTCATTTTAATCTGATTGGGGGTAAGTGTAATTTTTTAAATGTGAGAGAGATATCTGCATTAAACGAAAATCTCAAGAGGTGTCAGTGTAATTTACCCATTATTATATGTTGGAGTGTCGATTATTTTTAAAAATTTTGTTTGTCATATCATTTGAGAGAGTCTAGAGGGGAGAAATAATGTATATGAATCATTTTTCTTTTTCAAATCTAAAAAAATGATTTGAAATCACTGTTGTGCTTGATGCATGGCGATGATTGTTGTGTGGTCTGTGAGACTTGTTTTGGATTTTATTTTGATAATCTGAATCATTTAAGTTTTAGATAATATCAAAAAGGATATATATCTTTAGAAAATCAAGTTAATCAGATATTGACAACCTCTTCATCAAATCACATTTATATTTAGTTTGATACATACATTTTTATTTTATTTTATTTTTTATATACAGATGTGTTTTGATAAAGGAGTTATCAATATTTGATTAATTTGATTTTTTATAAGTTTATTATTCTCGATATTCCCTAAAATTTGAACGGCTTAAATCATCAAAATAAGACTTGAAACGAATCTCATGGGTTGCATGATAGTCACTGCCATGCTTGATTGTTACAACCCAAACCTGCCCCTATAAGTTTAGTATCGTAACCGGCCAGTAATCCTTGGATTACCAAAGACCTCTTGGCATAATGACATGTAGCAGGGGCTATGGAAGCAATTAATCAAGACATACATAGTCCATAGAGCTGTGCAAACATACATGGAGCAGATAACTTAAATCTTTTTATAACAGTAATACAAACTTTACACGTCACTTCCAGATACACATTACTAGACGTCTTGTCCAAACACAACATAGTATAAACATAGCCTAACATGATTACAAAAACAGCCATGAAACTAGACTTCAATCGGAACCTCCTCGGGAGGCACAATGGTTGGCTGACAAAACTGAAGTGTAGGCCATCAACTCTGGGCCTGATCTCGAGCTTGCTCACCTACATACATAATATAAATAGTGAGCTAAAACCCAATGAATAATAATAGAGTAAAGACTTTAATGAATAATGCCCATATAACATACCTCAAATCTCATAACAGAACAGAATCATAATCATGTCCATATTCAAATCATGTGTGGTACATCCCTTAGCACAAACATGTCTCTTGGGTCAAGCTTATCAAGTTCCATGAAGGAACCTCTGGTACCGGGTAACATGTCTCATACATCGGCCACGGTATTATTTCCCTCGGGCGAGGGCCTGTGCCACAGTATTGTTTCCCCCGGGCGAGGGCCTCATAACCATAAGCCACAGTATTATGTCCCTTGGGCGAGGGCCTCGGCTAAGGATACCACAATTATGTTTCAAGGAAAATTGGACAATCATTCATTCATACAAAACGTAGCATTTCAATCTATGATGAATCATTTCTTTCATATAAGCCATGTACATGTAATACTAAAAATTGTAAAAATATATATATATATATATATATTAAATTGATAAAATATAAAAAAATATTGCAAAGAATATAGAAATTTCAAAATTACTTTCAAAAATATAAAATCAACTCTATGAGTAAAAAGTTGGACCAATAAGTTCCATCCATTGAATTTATCTATATTTCATTTCATTTTTGTTTCTTCCACCTTTTCCTTTCCTCTTTACCTTTAGTGGCTGGCCATTTATTGCCTGCCACTACATCAATACCTTCCCTCGCCATTCTCAATCTCTCTTCACCATCCCAAAGCCCTCTCTGACCAACCACATCCCTACCCAGTCTACTTCCACCATGACTACCATCACACTGAACTTTCTGATTAAACTCTCCTATGGTGACGATACTATAGAGGAGGTCTTGTGAAAAAATAACTTGAAGCTACAGCTTAACACCTCTCATTCTTGTTGCTTTTTCAATATGAAAAAAAATTAAAAAATGAAAAGGTCATCTTATTCAAAACCCCTGTTAGAATAGTAGAGAGAGAGAGGGGAAATAACATGTATTGTAATAAATGAATGGTATTGAATGAAAGGCCTGTATATATAGGCTGTAAAAGAGTATTCTACTAAAAATCTAACTATGAGAAAAAGTATCCTATAAGAGACCTAACTATAACAATACCTAATATATCTAGGAAATCAATACCTAATATATGTAGGAATATATACTATATATACATGAACATTCCCCCTCAAACTCAAGGAGGATAAACATCTTGAGTTTGGAGAGATAAACTAAAACATGAAATAAAACTAAATAAAATAAAAGGTAAAAAGATTGCAAAATCTGAACGGGAGCGTAAGGGTGTTTGAAATAAATCAGATGCCGGAACTAATGCCGGGAGACAGTTTATGGTCGTGTCGGACCATTGTAGAAACTGGCTGAAACTAATGGCAGGACAATTTAAGGTCGTGTTGGACCGATATAGAAACTGGCTGGAACTAATGCCGAGAGACAGCTTATGGTCGTGTCGGACCATTGTAGGAACTGATTGGAACTAATGCCAGGACAATTTAAGGTCATGTCAGACCAATATAGAAACTGACTGGAACTAATGCCGAGAGACAGTTTATGGTCGTGTTGGACCATTGTAGGAACTGGCTGGAACTAATGCCAGGATAGTTTAAAGAGGTCATGCTGGACCCTTATATAGATTGGATGTTGAACTAGCAAGCGTGGCACACATATAATTTATGACGTGGTGCTGAACGATGATGGCAACAGATGACTGATTGCGCCAGGAGGTGGCTTCGATGGTGCGCTAGGGGGCGAGTTTGGTGGTGCGCCAAGAGAGGGCGGTTTGGATTGTGAGTCAGAGAAGGGTGGCTTGGGTTGTGCGCTAGAGAAT